CTGTCTTACAGATGGAGCCGCATTTAATACACAGAGCCGTAGTTCACTGACAAGCTAGGCAATATCGCGTTCATAATCGAATGCGATTCATCTGCGATTATGAACGCGATATTGCTTAATTGAAGTGAACTACGGCTCTAAATGCCGCTCCATCTGAAAGCAGGTGATGGCGATTTACTACCAATCACGGAACCGGCTTTACTGACGAGATGCGCATGACAATCGCATGCGATTAATTGCACAGCCCTATCAAATAGGTCAGATCTTTGCAGGCATCATGATGGGATGTTGAATGGATGAAGAACGTAATTTGCCTTCTGACTCTTTTCTCAGATTTCCAAAGCAAAGGGTCAGTTTAATATGCATGTTTTTTTCGTTATGGCTTTAAAGAGCACCACAGCTCATTTGAGCAAACGCCAAGTCTAGATATTTATGTACATTTAAAAATCTTACTCATACAACCTCTGACAATTTGGGGAGTCCTGATTTATTCCCATTACGGTTCAAACCCCAAATATGGGCTCTTTTCTGTCAAACACGGCAAGAATCAAAGATATTCAAGCAGAAATCACCAGTGCATCTTCCACTTTGCTACAGTATTAATGACAGATAGCAGCTATGTGCGCAGAACACACGAAAATTCTACTTTTAATTACTGAAATTGGGGATTTCCGACTTAGCACAAAAAAGCTTGTGATAAGCTGCATCGCCGTACATTCACTCTGTCTTTCCATTTGCTAATTCTTAGAGTTGTCATCATAGTGCAAAAGCAGGAGTTAGAGATCACGGGACAGGCTGAGAAACACCCTCCTCCACGGCTGTCCTCTGGGTCTGCAGAGGTGTCGAACCATCAGTCGATTCCTTTCAGTTGATTCTTCTGTAACAAGATGATTCAATCTTTAACATACCTGCCATCACATGCACATTTGCCAAGTTTTTTTTTTAGCCTCAAATATGATCATATCTGTTGCAATCGGTAGTACATTCCTGAGCCATGTTCAAACTACGCAGTGTGAAACAGCAAGCAGTTGCAACAATGAATGCTTCAAACCGTATTCAAGCAGTAGTTCACCCAAAAATGAAAATTTACTTACCTTCAGGCCATCCAAAATCTAGATGAGTCACATTTTCATTTATTTTCATGATGAATGCAGTTACATGTCCCTAAATGTTCAAGATATGACAGCAAAAATACCCCTGCATGGGGTTTTGTCTTATATTTATATCATATTAGCAATATCACATGAGCAAGAATCCTGTTTTTTCCTGAATATCTTCACGATTGCATATGTGCCATTGATTTTATACAACAGTTACAATTTTAGAGACATTATTGTATCATCTGTTTTTGCAAAAATTGTTTCAAACAAAGCCACAGTAAAACTGTTGTCCATCTTGGAGTAACACACAATGGTGTTTCATTACTGAATGAAAAAAAAAAAAAAGATTTTCAATGTTATCGCCACATTGCAGCCTCAAGAATTTGTGAAATAAATTATATGTTGAATCAAAATATTTCTTTTAAAAAGTAGCTTTGAAAATAAATAGCTAATTTCTTGTAATGTCTATTCAGTGCTTTTCTCATTTAATATAATAATGACTTTAAATTACCATTTGGGGGTAATTTCTCAATGCAAATGTGCAATTAATTTACAATTCTTAACAGCCCTAATTTTAATATATTTATATTGTAATTTATTTGTGTGATGCAAAGTTGAATTTTCAGCATCATTACTCCAGGTTTCACTGTTACATGATCCTTCAGAAATCATTCTAATATGCTGATTTGTTGCTCAAGAAACATTTCCCATTATTATCAATGTTAAAAAACAGTTAATAACATTTTATAATAATATTTAAAATTAAATATTTTACTTTTTAGAATGCTTTGATGACTAGAAAGTTCAAAAGAACATAATTTATTTCAAATATAAATCTTTTGTATTATAAATGTCTTTAATGTCACTTTTAATCAATGTATCCTTGCTGTATAAAAGTACTAATTAAAAAAAAAAAATACTAACCCCACACTTTTAAAGCACACCTCGCTTTTTTCAGACCGATGAGCTTTGTAAAAATCGACGCGTTTCAGAAAGGCGGGGCATAGAGGAGAAACAATAATGTACAGTATGTGGAAAATAATGTGTTTTTTGAACCTTAAACCGCATAAACACATTTCATTACACCAAATACACAAAATAATGTTCTTTTTAGCAGCATCATATGACCCCTTTAAGCAGTAGTGTACATACTGCTAAAATGGGACAGCGCTTACCTTCTCCTGCGCTGCACATACAGACGGATGAGCCACTGCACCACAAACGGCCAGATGACAGCAAAGGCCACAGTTCCAGGAGACACATCAAAAGGCCACCAGGATGGCTTCTGGGAAGTATAAGAATAAATGATAATGAAAATATTATATCAGCACCCATTCTATGGCAATGGCATAATTCAATAAAATTCATAAAAATAATTCGGGACACAATCAAAATGTATATTTATGCATTTGGCAGACACTTTTATCCAAAGAGACTAGCAATGCATTCAAGCCAGATTTACATTTTATCAGTTCATGCATTCACTGGGAATCGAACCCATAACCTCAGCATTGCTAGCTGTTTGAGCTACAGGAATGCTCTCTTTTTAAGAGTTTCTTTCTTCTGTTGAACATAAAAGAAGGTATTTTGAATAATGTGGGTAACCAAACAGTTCCTGGTAACCATTGACTTCCATAGTAGAGGAAAAAATAGTGTGGAAGCCAATGGGGACCAGAAACTGTTTTGTTACCAACATTCTTCAAAATATCTTTTTTTGTGTTCAACAGAAGAAAGAAACTCATACAGGTTTGGAGCAACTTGAGGGTGAGTGAATGATGACAGATTGTTCATTTTTGGGTGAACTTTAAGTCTTGAATCCCATCAATCAGTTTATTAAATTGACTTTACCTTCTTCGTTTTATTTGCAGGTGGTGACAGGTAGTCTGATGGCAGCGCTAAGGATCGGGCCTGAGAAGTTGCACATGACAAATCAAAAATTTAATGTTTCATACTTAATCAGTGTTATCTATGTTGTACTGAGTGAAAAGTGACGGTTTGTAACCTGCGAGGCTGTGAGAGCTTCCAGCGTCTGTAGCCTCTCTAACACGCTCTGCATGTCGTCCTGCAGTCTGGCCAGAGCACAGATTATCTGTTCATTTAGATTCTGTGTTGCCGATCCATCCGTCCCCGAGCGTTCCCCATCTCCCCCACTGCCCTGCTGCGGTCCCGCTGACCCCGAGCCAAAGGCAGGTGACCTGGACCCTGATACACAGGAGAAGCAGCTGCAGTATGTGCAAAACATCCTGTAGATCATTAACAGATTAAAGAAACAAAGTTTCCAAAAACACATTTACTTGAGGATTCCAGCTCTGTTCCAAAACCAAGAGAGCATTTTAAGGTAACATATGTGCGCTCACAATGCAATGCTCATATTTTATAAAGAAAAGTTTACTTTTTAATATATTTTACCCAATATTTGTATGTGCACCATGTATTGTTATGCTTGCTAGAGTACTGTTAACTTGGCAACATGTTAAAGGGATAGTTCACCCAAAAATGAAAATTCTGTCATTAATTACTCATCCTCGTGTTGTTTCAAACCCGTAAGACCTTCGTTTATCTTCGGAACACAAATGAAGATATTTTTTATTAAATCAGAGAGTTTTCTGACCCTGTATAGACAACAACCACGGTGAAGGCCCAGAATAGAGAGGAAATAAATATGACGCATGTGTGTGGTGCTGCTGACGCAAGAGCCGGTGTTGTGACATAGAACCCGGATGTGCTGCGCCTTGTTTACAAGCAGAGGAATGCACACACATATGTGAAGGTACTCTCGTGAATGCATGTTGAAGAATGACACAGAAAAGAAGGAATTGTTGAATAAAGTTGTTATTTTTGTTTTCTTTGTGCACAAAAAGTATTCTCGTAGCTTTATAACATTATGGTTGAACCACTGGTGTCACATGGACTATTTAAATGATGTCCTTATACGTTTCTGGGCCTTGAACGTGTCAGTTGCTTTGCTGTCTATGCTAGTCAGAAAGCTCTTGGATTTCATCAGAAATATCTTAATTTGTGTTCCAAAGATGAACGAAGGTCTTGCGGGTTTGAAACGACATGATGGTGAGTTGACAATTTTTATGTTTGGGTGAACTATCCCTTTTAAGATCAAGTTCTACTGGAATCAACAATCAAATCTTGTGTGCTTCACAGGAGGAGTGATATCTGGAGTTGTTGTTTATGTATTTTTATTTTTTTAATTTGGTCACTTATGAGACTCCATAGCAGGTAAGACCAAAGTATACTTCAGATTTGATGAGAACACTTATTATGTGTACAGTCGAACTGATAGTCTTTAACAGCCTAGTAGAATGCAGTTAGAATGCATTCAAAATTCAATATATGGGGGCAAAAATGCCCCTGAACAAGTCTTAAAGCTTTGAAAAGCTTTAAAAAAAGTCATCTGTCCATGACATAAATCAGCTAAGGTGTACCAGCATACAAATTCACTCAGCAAAATATTATCTAATTACCAATAACGACAAAATCCCAGAAAATATCTAAATATTTTTTTTTCTGGTCAATATCACACTCATAGTCTCCAGTAGTTTGTAGTTATTTCATCTCATCAGTTGCTTTTTCAGCTATGAAACCACTGGCTGGAAGTGTTGCCATCTTGCGGACAATAAATTAGCACAAAAAAAAGATGATGCTCTGCGAGAAGAAAATCAGGCTGCATGCATACAGTACGCACACATTTGCATATCCTAGGGTATGCATAAAAACCGAAATATAAGAACAGTACAGAAGCAATAGTAGCAAGCTAGCAAGGTTTTGAAACAGATCTTATATATGATTTTGCTATTGTTTTGGTTGCTAGGTTTGTACCTCTTCCCCTCCTGACCACAGAACTGCCACTTCTATTCACAGGAAGTCCCTGCCTCTGAGAACCGCCTCTACTGCTCGGCCCGTCTTCTCCGCCGTGCTGCATGCCTTCCTCCTGTCCCAGCAGTTCCTCTTGTGATCTGATCTCTCCTGTGGGGGATAGTGTGCTGTGGCTCTCCTCGGCCACGTCCAGTGAGTGGCTGACATGTAGCTCAGATCCCTGGAGACCAGGAACAAAAGCACATGCATTGCTGACATTTTGGGAGATTTTGGAAAACCATTGCAGAGGTGCTAACAGACTAAAGATGCAGTCACATTGACGTTGTTTAGCGATTGTCATTTCAATAGGAATCCACGTGAATTCGCGTGAGGACGGAAGCTTTACCCATGCAGATTTCGCAACGGGTTCAAGGTGAAATCTCTGTGCTGACCAATAGAAATCTGTTTGGTTTGAAATTGACTTCTGTGCGATCTGTGATTCATTCACCTATACACTATTGACAACAGACCTTTTTGATCACAACATTTTGCTGAAATTTCACTCATGTGACCACACCTTCAAGGGATAGTTCTCCCAAAAATGAAATGTACTCGTCCTCATGTTGTATGAATTTCTTTCTTCTGCTAAACACAAAAGAAGATATTTTGAAGAACGTGGCTAACCAAACAGTTTCCGGTCCCAATTGACTTCCATAGTATTTTTTAGGTGAACTATCCCTTTAACACTGAATCCTGCACTCCCAGCGTCAAGTAATTTTTGGATCAGACATCATTAAGCGTAACTGAAATCTACTTACCTCTTCTGCACCAAACTGGTCGACGGAGTCACAGTACACCTCGCTGTCCGAATCACTGGCCACATGGTGAGAACTGGACACGTCTTCTGTTTCACATATAAAGAGTGATTCAGATCGGTTCAGATAACTACTGCAAGTATGTCCTAGAGCTTACTTTTAAAATAACGAGTCAAGTAAATGATTACCCCCAATGTCCTTCTCCTCACCTTTGATGTGTCCATTCAGCTCTATGACGTCTCTATCATGGTTAAAGCTTTTAGAGTCTTCTTCTGACTCCTGCCTGTTCAGATCAGACTTAGACCCATGCGTTCCATTGGCAAGGACTTTATGTTGGCCGATACTCCCATTAGATACCCGTCCTTTAGGTCTTCCCGCAGAAGCCCTTTTCTTCAGTTGTGAGGCTAAAAAAACAGTAAAGCAAATGTATTATTAATACATGCATTATGAAGGAAATATGAGTGGCGCTTACCAATGCAAAACTGTTCACGATACTGTATGTTTGATAAGGTGTTTTGGGTGGTTTGTAGGTGTACTGGCCAATGCCAAAAGAGCATCTAGAATTAGTCTAGATATTTTGAAAATGTTGCAGGCAAAAAAGGTACATTGTCTACTGTCAACAGTGTAACAATGTATAAAGGACAGGTCACGCCAAAGTCACTTTCAAACAAAGCAGCTTTCTGTTGATCAGCATGGCAAATTTGTACAACCACCTTGAACCTGTTGCAAAATCTGCTTGGGGAAATCTTTCGCTTCTTCGGCAGAAATTCTCTACACAATTTTTAATGAGACTGCACCTTTAAGTATGAGCAATAATAATTATGAGTTTTACCTTTTTTCACCTCTTTAACCTCCTCTTCTTCATCTTTCTCCTCCTCTTCCTCCTCATTATCATCTTCTCCGTCTTCCGTGTCTATTGATTTGGTCTTTGGAGTTTCTGATATTTTGATGGGGTAACTGTCCAGGCTGCCGTTCATCTCCATCGTCCTGATGATGCTTTTTGTGACACTTTTGGGTGGTGATGTTAGCATGCTCCCAAACCCTGGAGACAACAACAATACACATGTAAGATGATGCATTGACGATATGTTCTGAAACTTGATAGGCACACTTTCTAAAAGGTCTGTTCTATCAGGACTATTGCACAAAAAAAGTAAAGCTGTACCAGTGACACTACAGCCTTTACACAGACCCCAGACTAATCTACACTAATAACAGCAGTGAGTGAACAACTGAGGCATCGAAGCAAACACCTGGACTATGGCACTATGAACTAAGGGCACAGGCCGCTGAGGGAGAACACATTGCTATTCACTTGCTTTCAAGTTGCCTAGCAAATCTTTCCAAGCGGGCTGGACATGAAACAAAGGGGTAATTAGTTAATGTAAACAGGATTTTATCGTTATTTACTTGCACACTACAGTTTAAACGTTTGGGGTCAGTAAGATTTTTTTGAAAAGAAGTCTGTTATTAGCAAGGCTGTATTTATGTCAAAACAGTAATAATGTTTTATTCCAGTGATGCAAAGCTAAATTTTCAGCGGCCATCACTACAGTCTTCAGTATAACATGAACCTTCAGAAATCATTGTAATATACTGACTTGAATAAAATCCTTACTGAATAAAAGCTTCATTTGAATTGATGCTATAGCTACAGCTTCATTGGTTTTAATTTATTAAAAGCTCAACATTTTAAGGATATTTTATACAAAGAAATGTCCAGTCATATTTAACCCCAAAATCAAAAGTAAAAAAAGTTTTCAATAATGATTATTAATTATTATTATTTCATTAGTTTGTTATATATATGTACACATACACATACAGGGAGGGGTGCACATAAGTTTTTCAGCCTGTTTCTCATAAGAGAACCTGGAGATTTGGTTTGGTCCTCACACTGTACATAGTGTGACCCATTAAATATAACTATAAAAAATTAATTAATAATAGTGATAATATTATTGCACTTTATTTAGTTAGTTTTTCAAAATAAAATAATAAAGTGTGATTCTATTTTTAAATACAAATACAATTATTTTATAGTAAACTTAAAAATAAAATGCTAATATTTACTTCTTTTTAATATATGAATTTTCATCATTTTCAACATTAAAATCAGTAGGCTTTTCTTTTGGCAGGTTGCCAGCAAGTAAGTATATGCGCTTCCGGGTTTAGCACACCGATTGAAGAGCATCAGTGAATGAAATGTCACAGTTAACAATTAACAGCTGTCAACCATGCGCAAATGTGCAGTCAGAATTTATTTATACAGCGCATTTTTTATTTTGGTCGCGAATGCGGACCACTTATGTGCACATAATATATATAAATAAAAAAAAGTTTGTATTATTTTTGGTGATTAGAGCGTATAGCTCATGAAAGTCAAAAATCCAGTATCAAAATATTAGAATATTTCCTAAGGATTTGCAAAACAGAACAGTTCAAGTTCTTTAAAGGGGTCATATGATGCTATTTTAAAGATCATTATTTTGTGTATTTGGT